TTGTTGTAGGTGCTGTAGTGGTCTGAGGCTCTGTCGGCGCAGTTGATGTCACGGGAGCCTGTGTTGTTGTTGTAGGTGCTGTAGTGGTCTGAGGCTCTGTCGGCGCAGTTGATGTCACGGGAGCCTGTGTTGTTGTTGTAGGTCCTGTAGTGGTCTGAGGCTCTGTCGGCGCAGTTGATGTCACGGGAGCCTGTGTTGTCGTTGGAGGTCCTGTAGAGGTAGCAACACAATTGATGGCAATTCAGGTTCATGGGAATGACTGGTAAGGAAAATAAAATGATGTGGATGACATGAGTTGAGGTGCGTTCCCTACATCCGCCTCTGTATCGGCAACTAGGCTTCAGATATCGAACAGACCTCATATTTGTGAAACAGGGACAGGCTGCATGAGGACAGGGAGCCATAACAGCTGCCTTTTCAATGTTTGATACACTAACCAACTCAATATAACCTGCTGTGATGAAATTGGACCAAATGGAAAAAATAGCTGAACAAAGAGACACAGTAGGAAGCAAGTTAACAGAAGCTCATCTTGGTGCTCAAAGAGATTCTTGCTAAAATTGTAAAGGTAGCTATGTGCTGAATGCTATATTTATGTATTATGTTACATATTTATGAACAGGTGAGTTTTTTTATGAATGGAGGTATTCCTTGTATGTGATTGCTAGTAGGCTCAGCACAGTGGTACAGTGATTAGCACTGGTGTCTAACAGCTCTGTTACTAGCCTTCTAGTCTCTGCCATAGCCACGTGTGTGTGTGGAGTTTGCATGTTCTCGCTGTGTTGCTGTGGGGTTTCCTCTGGGTAACTCCAGCCCCCCACGTCCAAAAACATGCTGAGGTTAAATGGAGATACCAAACTGTGTGTGTGTGGTCCAGCTATATATTACAATGTGGGGACCAACTGTGTCCAAAATGTGATACAAGGCTGTTATTTTGATGTTGCGGGGACCTTTTTTTCAGTCCCCACAAGGGAAATTTTAATCTTGTAAAAATCTGTGACTGCAATCAAAAAACTACAGGGTTGGAATCCTGTCCTGGATTGTTCCCTGCCCTGTATCGGTACGCTGCAACCCCCCTGCTGCCCAAAATAAGACAAGCTATTACACAAGATGGATGGATGATTGTTATTGCTAATCTATGTCCTAAGACTTATGTTCCTTAATTGTTGTCTGGGAGCTGGAGGAAGGGAAATTATTAACACATCCATTACTTTGAGGTGTTAGGGTTGCAGAAGCCATGTGGACCACAACACAGTGCAAAAATGTGTGAATGCTATGACTGCTTACCTTTCAGAATCATTAGAAAGACATTTCTTTTCTGGTCATTAAACAGTCCTGGAATATCCACACGGCATCCGTACGTCCCAGAGTCACTTTCCACAGCATTGAGAATGGTCAGGGAGACATCGCCCTGGCTGATCTCTAACAAATATCTGGCACTGCTTCTGAAAGTCACTATTCGCCCGTTGGTACTGATGATCCTGTTACTGCAGCCTCGTAGTGGCACCGCACCTCGCCCCCAGCACGCAGGCAGACGGCCGTAATAATTGCCATTATATTTGCAAGGCAGGGTGACTCTCCTCCCAGCGAACCCAGTGATCGTCTGTGCTGAAGATTCACTCACTGCAGAGAGATTAAAGGAAGTAACAATGATATAGATATTTCTTTTTGTCAGAATTGCATCTCTAGTAATGGTTTGCATGCATCATTATTGGCTCCATCACAGAAAAGAACTTACTGTGATAACTGTAAGAGCAAAGGGTTAAGGTGTTTGCCTCTCTTTGTACTTGAGATCTGAGAAAAGTGTTGGACATTTCCATACAGCAAAGGCTGGAATCCCAAAGACTTTCAGATACCTTTAAAATTCAACCATTGACCATTTGCTCTTTGAATGAGGTATCCCAGCGCCTGCAGGGACGGTGGTTCGGGTGCAGTGTGCATCCAGCCGCGACCAGAAGCCCAGATTGGCTGTGAGTTTGGCGAGTGTTTACCTGCGAGCAGGAGAAGGAGTTTGATTGCACAGGTCAGGCTGCTGAGGCCCCTCATGATGTTCTCACAGGCGAGCGTCCGTGGAGAAAAGCCCAGCCTCACTGCCAACAGCAAATCCTCTCAAGCGTACTTCATCTATTCTGTCGGTCACGCTAGGGTACATTTCCCATTTTTAAAAATACTTATTTCCTGCTTAATATTTTTGAAAGAGCCAAAATGACCAGAAGGGCAATCACCCCATCATCTTCATCGCTTCCTTTTTTACAATCTTGGGGGGCAGGAATGCAGTGTGGGGGTTTGAGAGTTCAAACTACTGGTAGAATTGAAAAACTTAAACCGAAACAAGACTAATTTTGACTCTAAATATCTGGCGGAAAGAAATATTAAAGCATAATTTTGTTACCCAATAAAATGTGTGATTTTATCAAGCGTTTGAATACTTTTGCAAGGAAAAGTAAAGGCTTTAGATATAAGTTCCCCTGAGTTATATTGTTTTGCAGTTATGTTCATAATTCATTTAGTTAATTTGCTTTTGTTTTGAAAGCTATCACAGCACAATATAATAATACAAGAGGCAAGAGAAATGGGGGCAACCTCCTCTGGGGCTTTTCTGATCAAATGGCATTTACAGTTTTTCTCGATTGCTTTGATACATTTTCTCAAATGATGTTCCACCGTCGTTGGTGTTGGTTCTCTCACCATAGTCACCTCATTATCCGTCTGCCCTGTCTCCTGCTGTGAAGAAGAGCAGTGTATTTATGTAAGTGATCATCGTATTGTTCACCACATGCAAAATATTTCACCAAACTTTCATAATCATTAAAGAATATGTCCCATAAAATGTTGTGATATGGCATCATTGTATTTATGGTTCCCACAGTCCATGATTGTGTTGCCATTTTGTTGTTCTTGTGTTACAGCTTTTCTCGCTTGCTTTGGCACATTTTACGAAACATTCTCACAACTAGACAAAACAGTTCAAAGAAGTTCATGCATATAATGACATTCATTGATTGAATTATTTGCTTTCGAGACATGAGTTAATTGTTGTGAGTGAAATATGACTTTTTGTATCTAAACCCCATTGTGCTGTATGCATGAGCTGTTTGGAGAATTGCTGTTATATTCCTGAGAATGTTAAGCATGTTTCATGAAATCTGTCACATTGTTTTCCCTTGCATATATAATTTCAGCTTAGGTCCTCACATTATGATTCTTTGTCTTTATGAAGCACTTATGATCAGTGCTAATTTGTACACAGTGCTAATTGTGCCGTCTAGCGGATTGTGTAGTAAATGATTTTTTTTTTATTGGTGAGCTTTTATTTTATTTTTTACCCAGAACACAAGTAGAATAGAATCATTGCACTTCATGTATCCAACCTTGGAAAACTGGTATATGAACCATCCTTCGTTCTTTCCTTGAGAGATACAGACACACATTTATAAGTCGCTGTCTTCTGTCTCTCCAGTCCCCCTGACCTCCTGAGTGTTTTTTCCATATCTGCTTTTCATGCTTCTTAAGATTCTGTGAATTCACAGTGGTGTCCCTGCAGGAGAAACTGAGGATCCAAAGCAGTTACAGTCCACCCTGCATCACGACTTCCAGAGGTAGGGGCAAAAATACATCAAAATATATTTTGATTCAAAAGGCATCTGGTGTGAATCACACGAGGGCTGAAACGAAAGGTAAGACAAATTAGTAACAGGTGAGGGTCTAACGAGCCACACTGAGGAAAGAACAAGGGGGCAGGAATGCAGGGCGTGACAGTACCCCCCAGGCAGACCGGGGAGGGGACCCTGGGACATGAGCCCCCCCGGAGGCCAGCAGGACCAGGTGGAGCCAAGGGGGTGGTAGGACCGGGGGCCGAGAGGCGCTGCAGGGCAGCAAAAGAGGGATACTGCCAGGGCTGCGGGACTGGGGGGGACACTGCTGGGACTGCAGGGCAAGGACCCAAGGGAAAAGGGGAACGTGAAGGATGAGAATAGGGAAGAGGGCAGGAACAGGAACAGGAACAGGAAGGCCCTAAGGGACCCGCTGGGCAAGGTGAGCCCCGAGGGGACGGCACAGCGGCCACGTATGGTGTGCCCCAGACTCCCTCTCTGGGAGACCGAGATACAGTGCAAAGTCAGACAAGACAATCAGACAAACTACAGGCGCAACTCTACTGATGAACTTTCAACTTACTAACTTTCAGACATACAGTACGAAGGAAGAGGACTGTAATTCCTAATTGTGTTCATTGGGCTCCCGTTTCCTGTCCGCGTCATCAATTTTTTTTTTTCTGCCCGCCAATTCCGCCTAGTACAACTTCTGGCCGCTACTCCCGCCGCGCAGCAGCATAGCGTGCGTACTCCCAGCATCCTAGTGCTTTGTACTTGCGTATACCCTTAAAATGATATTGAATAACGACTTACGAACATTTCAAGTTACGAACGGCCGTATGTAACGTATCTCATTCCTAAGTAGAGGAGCGTCTGTATTGTGGCACTGTAGTGCATCAACAAAATACACAAAATACACAAAATACAAATAAACAGCAGGGGATGTAATGAGTGTACCCCTCCCTGTAGGTAATTTTAAGGTACAGAAATGGACTCTGAGCGACAGATGCTACTGTACATGGTACATGAATGCTGAATGTACCTTTGGGATGTCAATTTCTGTACTTAAAAGGTACAATCACAAGGGTGGAGCCCCAGTAACAAGCAAAGGTATACATTTCCCTTTTTCTGAGAATGCACAGTGGAACATAATTTTCAGCATTGTCATAATTACAAGTTTATTTTATTGCTTGCATCTATTTCTGTATGCTGCACTGTTGCTCATTAGCTAAATAAACTTAGATTTGAATTTCAATATTATTGGGAGTAAGCTTTCCTAGTCTAGGCAGAAGCCTGGTCTATACGTTCAATGTGTTTAACCTTATGCTTTTGGACTGGAAACTGGTAAATCCAGAGGAAACCTGTGTGCACTCTCCACACACGTACAGATCTAACGTTCAGCCCTTCAGTTGGTGCAGTCTTCACCAGTGGTCTTGACTCACTTGGCTATGCTTTTGGTTTTGCTGGACTGTCCTCTGTGCTGTGAGGTGTGGTGAAGTGGATCAGTGGTACTCCCACTGGCTACAAAAAAAAAACAATCAAACAAATAAATACTAATAAAAATGAAAAAGAAAGAATCGTAACCGCTAACTTATTGCATATATTCAAAGTTCAATTTCACCCACAAGGTGGCGGTCTTTACCTGCAACATGAACACAAAGAGGAAACTACTGCATTATCCAGTTACACAAAAGTTCATTCATTTGAAGTGAATATCCCGCGAAACAGCCGCAAACAGCCGTTTGCAAACAGCCGTTTTTAAAATATCACCAGGGTTTAACCAATTTGTAATTAATTAGAGACATGCAGACAATGTCGCGTCAAATCCGTTTCACCCCAATGGACCGTAACTGCAATGAGGGTCGTGGAGCCTGTCAACAGTTCCCGGAAGACAGCAGTTAGTACTGGCATAACAGTAGAGTTGCAGAGGGGTTTGGACCACATATTTGGCTCTGTTTTCTGAAAATCGGAATGATTGTATTTTATGGTTTAAACATTTTGTCAGGACTATATCATACTTAGCTATGAGGAATGCATGTTTGCCAAGCTCAGGGGTTGAAAATATTATAATTATGGGATGTTTTTTTAAATATATTTCTCCAGACGTTTTCCACCCTGTTAGGGACATGTACATGGTAATCACAGTTTAAATAATGTACAAGTCAAACAATACTGAACTTTTCTGGCATACAATGTGCCCCTTTTGCTATGATAAAAGTTTAATTCTTGTAGCATTAACAGTTTTAATTTTATGAAGAGTACAATGTCAGAATAATGGAATCTGTGGATTTTTTGTCCCCATTTTGTTGACTTGTATGAGGAATTTTATTAATTAGAAATAAAAGTATATGTAGATGCATTATATGCACCTCATTTAACAAAACAATATACAAATATACCAAACACTTACTGTTGTGAGTAGAATATTTTTTTAAACCATTGCCTAACAGGGTGGAATAGAATATAACAG